TAGGAGAAGAGTATATATCACCTATTTGGTAGTAGAGATTTGGCAGGATGATGGCCTCACAGTGTCCCTGCCTCACTCTTCTCATTTGTTAAGATTGATACATTTACATTCAAATTTTACACACAGTATTTTCTACTGAAACAGCGTTTTCCCACCGGAGTTAGTTTTGCAACCGGGGGACACTTGGCAATGTCTGGAGACAATTTTCAGTTGTGAAAAACTGTGGGAGGCATGGATGCTCCTGGTATTTTATGGCTGGAGGCCAGGATGCTGCGTAACTTCCTAACGATGGACAGATACACCCCCACAGCAAAAGCGCGTCCACCCCAAATGTCAGTGCTGCCAAGGCTGAGAAATTGTGCTTGATTAAGGAGCAAGATGTGTTATAGATGAGCTTTTTATCACATGAAATAATGGAATTCACTGTGAGGTACATTTCAGCATTTGAAAAACATCTTGATTATTTCTGAGGATATCTACATGTGGATTTTTAAGTGCTTTTTTAAAACTTATTCTTATGTAACTAATCTCATCTACTGTTTCTCTCCCCTCCCCGTTTTTCCTTGTCGGCTACAGAGGAATGGTAGGAATCATTCTCACTGCTGGAATTATTGGATGGTGTAGTTTTTCTGCTTCCAAAATTTTTATTTCTGCATTAGCCATGGAAGGACAGCAACTTCTAGTAGCATATCCTTGTGCTTTGCTATACGGAGTCTTTGCCCTAATTTCTGTTTTTTGAACTGAATTTATCTCGGATGTGAACATTATTGGGCCAAATAGCAAAAAGGACTTTGAACTCTTAAATCAGACCAGCAAAGTGCTACAGTAAAACTCTCGTGCAGATCTGATGTTTGACTCTTGGAGCAATGGAAGTAAATACGTATCTTTTGTTCATTTTTATGGAATTTTTGAATACTGTGTTGGATTTACCTGCAGTATGACTAGGTTTAAATGTTTGTGCTAATACAAATAAGAAGTGCTATTTCTTTCGTGTTCCTGCAGCCTTAGAAAAACAGCTCTTCTCCTTGCTAACTATATATTATGATGTTTTTGATGGATTTTTATCAACTGTGGGAAACTAACCACAGAGATAATAATCTTTCTTAAAAACAACCCATAATAAAGAAGACATAAGACTTATTGGAGAAATATTTTCCAAGGAGTTAGGAAATAAAAATTACCTGTATTCTCAAGTCAGGTGCAGTTGAAGCAAAAAAGTGATCCCAATGTAAAGTTTTATGAGTTTGCACTTCAAAAGTTTGACAGTCCTCTAAATTATCTCATGGAGTTTTAGCTAAATTCAGTGATACAAGTAGTTCACAGTCTACCTTATTGTAGATGTGAAATGTGAACATCTCTTCAGATACTAGCATTAACTAAACCACAGTGACCTAGACTCTGCATTAATGCTCATAATTGGATCTCCATGTTTCCCAGGAAAAAGAAAATCACTAACCTTTTTTGCGAAGAATATTTAAAATGTCACAGTTTCAGTATTGCAGTTTCAATGTAAAGTACATTTGATGCTTATTAATTAAAATTTTCCCAGTTGATTTAAAGTGTGTTGTTGAGTTTACTTTTGCTAACCCACTGTTCTCGGTGTTCCATTTTCTTTAGGGTCTGGTTTTGACTTGTATTCCCAATTTATTTTAAGCTTTAAGAATAGTGGTCATCTAGTATAGAATCAAAAAATGAGATTAAACAAAAAGTAGTTTGCTTTGAGTTACATTATTTCCTTGTATTGAATTTATTTGGTTAATATTGTCATGTTCTCTTGTCAGAAAGTCTGTAAGAAAATACCATATCTTGATGGTTGGCTTTTTCTGGAGCCAGATTCTGATTTTGGACAAAGCTCAGTTATGAGAAAGGTGCCATACTGGGAGGGAAAATGTTGCTCTTTTTTTTTTTTTTTTTTTAAAGGGGGGGCTTTCAGACTAAATAAAAAGAAATGCCACGCTGACATATTCATGGTTTTTTTTTAGAGCTAGTGTTCAACCATAAAAGGTTAAAATAATAAAACATACTTCTTACAAGAAGATCATGATTTCTGATCTCTGGAATTACATAAATTTGTTTTCCTTCATTAATATTTAATCTTCTGGAGGAACGTACTCACTAGTAATTAGCTATTGGCTGGGTTTTTAAACTTACCAAATTGTTTTAGAATATTTTTTATTATAATCCTTGGATAGTATCTTTTTTGCCTTTTTCAATTCATTTTATAAGCGTAAACAATTCTTCCTAAGGCAAATGTAATGGGTGCCTTCTGTTAATATCCAGTTCTTCCTAATGAAAAGGGTAGATGATGCTTTGGGAATTAAAATCTCCCTCTGTTAGTTAGACTTAAGACCATTAATCTTCAGCTAAATTCCCCAAATAGATCAAACTGTTTTCTTATTTTTTTGCCTCCACCCCCAACAAAATAATTTTTAGTTTAAATCAATAATGTAGAGATTTTTGTTGTTAGTTGTCTTTTATTTAACCCCAAAATGATTAGTTGCAAAACTATTTTATATTCTGTCAGAACAGGTATACAGTGGAATTGCCTTTGATATAAGAGTTCTCAAGCTTGCTTGTTTACATGAAGAGTCATGCGTGACCAAAATTTCCCTTTTATAAAACTCTCTCATCAAAAATACAGTATATGTAGCCATATTTGTGCATACTTTAAAAACGGACATAACTGTGTCTCAGAAATACGATGTGGTAATGTTTTTCTCTAGCTTCGGAATAGCTTTCTGCTTCTTCAGCTAAGTACCAGGAAGAGCATATGGTTTGCTTTTAGGTCCATTTTATACCCAAACCATGCATGTACCTTTAAGTACTGGAGATGCTCTCAGCATCACTAAAAGCTTACCCAGTGACTGTCTCTGAGTAAAACTCTTTGTGAGTGGACTTTTCAGGTTCACTCACTCAAGCGAGTGTGTTTATGCAGGCATGTATGCCAAAGACATGCAGTTGATTTTACATATAGTATAAATGTATATTTTACAACTTTGCTGTAATACATTTACCAATGGGTGTTTTCAAGAGCTGTATAAGAAAGCTTATAGAAATAGGCATTCTTTTGCCAGATAAAGTTATGCAGATAATGAAAAATGCTGTAAATCTTTAAACACTGTCCTTACAAACTGGTCATCCAATCAAAGAGAATTTTTTTAAATGTATCTAATGATTTGACTTGGGGTGGGATCTAAGTACTATGCATATGACATTTTGCAACTATAATAGGCATTGCTCAACTCAAATATATTCCAAAACTAAGTGAGGACAATTATCTCTGTAATGTTATAGGATACTCAGACCCAGTCATGAAGAATTATGGGAAATCAAGATGACATTTGGAGATCTGCCTGTTGTCATATAGAGCACATCTAATGTAATGACTTGAACAATTTGCTTAACTTGCCGTGTGGGAGAAAAAATTATATATGACACAGTGCTTAGCCTGTTGTAAAGTTGTGCCAAAAATTTTCCAAAAAAACGTAACTCGGTATACATCATCACATGAAGAGTACTTACCAAAGAACAGCACTGGGCCTTCCTTCAAGACTTTAGCTAGAGCAAGCTTCCTACCCAAACAGTAGCCCCAAGTGAAATCTGTCCTCGCAAAGTATCCACTGATTCATTCTGTAGTGTCAAATTCCAAATCACCAAATGAACTCAATTATTGTAAATCTCAATTTATTTGGAAATGAAAGCTTAAGTTACTCCTCAAGCAATGTATTTGTATCTTAATAATATGCTTGTTTTCAAAGTAACTTTAAGCATGAAGCATTTAGTAGTAGGCAAAAACACAAGTACATTTTTAGTCACAGTAGTTAATGAGAGTTTCTTGTTTTCTTTTTAGGATGTATTTAGGATTTGGGGGAAGGAGTGGCAATAACAAGATTATCAGGGTCTATTGGAAATGCCCTAAGGAAAAATTGGTTCATGTGCTTTAATGAGTAGATAAGTATGATCTGTCATTAGCTTGTCAAGCATACAGTGTTGACTTTCAAACATCTTAAAGCCTGTCCTCACCACTTTCTCCACAATCTAGGCTGTTATTACTTGACACCACCAATGAAGAAATCACTGATTTTTAATCAGTTCTACTTCTGCCACCATCCAAATTATTGAAGTTTGAATTTTAGTGCATTATTAGTAGTACTTGAATTTCAATAAGTTACTTTGTTCATGAATAAATACCCAGTTTGTAACTGGGCAGTACGTAAAAACAAACATTAAATATTAAATTACTGATTTCTAGAGATTGGCAGATTACCTAGTCAAGTGTTTTATATTATTGTATTCTATTATCTTGGAATGGTGACCATAAAACCTGAAGAATGAAGTCAAGACAGTGTGTAGTTCTGACTTTTGCATCACAGATAGGAATATTTCTTCCTGTGCATGAAGTTCCTAGTCTAGTTAATAAAGAACATTACCTGCTGATGGAGCACAATGTCCTGTGTTTGTGCAAATAAATTAAAAAGATTACATATGCAAATGAGGACTAATTAAATACAGAGTTCTCCTAATTTAAAAGCACAAATACTTCCTTGAGCACATTAGGTTCTAAAAATCGGATATTACATTTTTCATGAGTTTTATTAGGCTTACCTTGCATATATAATTTTTTTTTTTTTCTGAAACTACCACTAAATATGGTGATAGCTTGTAGGGTGATGAATTACGTATTAAGGCGTTATAATCGCTTTTCAACACTTGCAGCACAAAAGAAATTTTAAATATGAGAAAACGAAGTACTCATAAACATTTAAGATGCTTGTAAATTTACACCTAGTTGCCCTACTCTGATTCTCTTAAAAATAGAGAAAACAACATGGTTATTTCATTTTTTTCCCCAGGTAATTACAGTTCAAACGAATGTCTTTGTAAAATTTAATGACACATTTGCTTGTAGGTTTCAGTTTTGTGATTTTTTGATAATATTATAGGACTTGGTAGCGTCTTTTCTCTAGGCAGTCAATGATCCTAAAAGCCCTATTATTTTAGTGCTTGCTTCGGCAGCACATATACTAAAATTGGAGCGATACAGAGATTACCGTGGCCCCTGCACAAGGATGACACGCAAATTGTGAAGCGTTCCATATTTTTAAGACCTAAATGTAAGGCCAGACACTACAAAACTCTTAGAGGAAAACATAGGCAGAACACTCTGTGACATAAATCATAGCAAGATCCTTTTTGACCCACCTCCTAGAGAAATGGAAATAAAAACAAAATAAACAAATGGGACCTAATGAAACTTAAAAGCCTTTGCACAGCAAAGGAAACCATAAACAAGACCAAAGACAACCCTCAGAATGGGAGAAAATATTTGCAAATGAAGCAACTGACAAAGGATTAATCTCCAAAATTTACAACCAGCTCATGCAGCTCAGTATCAAAAAAACAAACAACCCAATCCAAAAATGGGCAGAAGACCTAAATAGACATTTCTCCAAAGAAGATATACAGACTGCCAACAAACACATGAAAGAATGCTCAACATCATTAATCATTAGAGAAATGCAAATCAAAAGTACAATGAGGTATCACCTCACACCGGTCAGAATGGCCATCAAAAAAATCTACAAAAAATAAATGCTGGAGAGGGTGTGGAGAAAAGGGAACCCTCTTGCACTGTTGGTGGGAATGTAAATTGATACAGCCAGTATGGAGAACAGTATGGAGGTTCCTTAAAAAACGAAAAATAGAACTACCGTATGACCCAGCAATCCCACTACTGGGCATATGCCCTGAGAAAACCATAATTCAAAAAGAGTCATATACCACAATGTTCATTGCAGCTCTATTTACAATAGCTAGCACCTGGAAGCAACCTAAGTGTCCATCGACAGATGAATGGATAAAGAAGATGTGGCACATATATACAATGGAATATTACTCAGTCATAAAAAGAAACAAAATTGAGTTATTTGTAGTGAGGTGGATGGACCTAGAGTCTGTTATACAGAGTGAAGTAAGAAAAAGAAAAGCAAATACTGTATACTAACAGATATATATGGAATCTAAAAAAAAAAAATGGTTTTGAAGAACCTAGGGGCAGGACAGGAATGAAGATGCAGACATAGAGAATGGACTTGAGGACACAGGGAGGGGAAAGGGGAAGCTGTGACAAAGTGAGAGAGTGGCATGGACATATATACACTGCCAAACGTAAAATAGATAGCTAGTGGGAAGCAGCCACATAACACAGGGAGATCAGCTCGGTGCTTTGTGTCCACCTAGAGGGGTGGGATAGGGAGGGTGGGAGGCAGATGCAAGAGGGAGGAGATATAGGGATACATGTATATGTATAGCTGATTCATTTTGTTATACCGCAGAAACTAACACACCACTGTAAAGCAATTATACTCCAATAAAGATGTTAAAAAATATAAAAGCCCTATTTTATATATTTTAATTTTCAAAATGGGAATGTTTTTATTTCCTTTTATGATTACATATCATTATAGTAAAAAGTAATATTTCTCTTCAGCAGTAAATAGGAATGTATTATTGATAAGATGTTTCAACGTGGATGACCCTTGAAAATATGCTAAGTAAAAAAAAAGCCAGATGTGAAAGACCACATATCATATGATTCCATTTATATGAATTTCTGGGAAAGACAAATCTCTAGAGATAAATCAGTAATTGCCTGGAGGTGAAGTGGGGATTGACTGCAAATGGGCAGGATGGAACTTCTTGAATGATGATGGTCGTGCAACTGTGTTTATTAAAATCATTAAAGTGTACACTTAAAATGAGTAGATTTCATGATATGTAAATTATGTCAATAAATTCTTTTTAAAGCATGGGGAGAGAATGGGAGGAAGAACAAACTGCTGGAACATCGGTATTTTTAGAGTTCAAGAGAAAAGTTTTAGGATGGACTTCAATAGAGGGAAAAACAATATAGTACTTTCGCCCAGAGAAAACAAAATGAAGTAAAACTGCCCTCGCCTCAGATTTCACTCCCCACACAACTCCCTTCAAATAGATTGGTGTGCATTTTATCAGACCATACACACAGGTTCCCTCTTCCCCTCCCCCTTTCCCCCAGTGGCTCCTATACATATGAATACACACATACATGTGCCTTGTTTTAGAATTAAAATTCATAAAACATAAAATTTATTTTAACAAATTTAAAGTGTACAGTTCAGTTGCTTTAGTATATTCACAATGTTGTACAAGTGTCATTACTATCTAATTTCAGAATATTTCCATCACCCCTAGAAGAAACCCTATACCTCTCAATTCCCCACCTCCCAGACCCTGGCAACTGCTATTTATTTTCCGTCTCTGGATTTGCTTATTCTGGACATTTCATACAAGGAGAAGCATAAAATGTGGCCTTTTGCTTCTGGCATCTTTCACTTTGCATATTGTTTTCAAAGTCAACTTCTTTTTTTTAAGCAATCTATTATAGGCATCATTATGTATGTTGAACATTGAAATTTCATTCTTTTTAATAGCTGAATATCATTATTTGAGTGGTTAAATTTACTTCACCAGTTCCCTGCTGTTGAACAATTGGGATCTTTGTACCTTCTTTTAAAAATTGTAAGTAGTGCTGCATTTGTATTGGCATCTTTCATCATTGGAGTGTCACATTTGCTTTTAACAGTGCTGAGGTTGATCATTATTTAAACTCAGAGTTTAAATTCTGAGAATTTCAATAATTTTATTCCCTAACAGTTTTGTTTAATGTGAATATAGTTTTCTGTGATTTGTTGAAACATGCAAGTCGTTTGTACAGGCATTGCTCTTTGGTTCTCAATTATCTCAACATTTTTATTCTGCTCTTAAGCAGTGGAATATGAATACTGCTAAAAGTATGATGTCATACCCACACCTCAAATTATTTCTGCATTAGAATGGAAGACTTCATTCAAAGTGAGATGCTTTTTTTCTTGCCCATTTAGAAGAGTCATTCCAACAGCATTTTTAGGTCAGTGTTTTTATATAGCTTTAAAAAAAAATGTTTGAAATGTACCCATTTAAAATCTCACCTTGAGTGGGTCTGTATGCCTATAAAATTTAGTCATTTCAGGACATCCTTGAACATTTAACTCTGCTGCGCTTTAAATTTTTTCAATATTCATCCCTTGAGATAAGAGCACATGTATAGTATGATCTGACAGTGGCTCAAATTAGGCCTTGTTACCTGATGTGTTCCTATTTAAATTCTCAAGAATTAAATTTTATCACAGCAGCAGTTAAAAAGAAGCCTAAAATCAACATCTCCAATTCAGATATCTGCAGAAATCAGTTACATAAATTTTTATTGAGCTTTAAGTGTTGAATTTCTTAATAGAATGATTTAAAATGCATTCCTTCTGCTTTTTTTTTTGTCTTTGTGTTTGAGGGCATTTGTTTGCTTTGGCATTCTATTTATAATGTTCTATGCCTGTAATAATGCACTTTTTAAAAAACACTGTTTCTGTCCTGTTTAAATGTGGTACATTTTAATCACTACATGAGCATTCATATTGACCAACATACCCTAGCTTAAATGCCAGTTCAGATACTCCTTGGATGTTTATGTCTGTCGCAAGGTCATGCTTAACCAGACTCAATTTTTATCATCTCTTCAGATCATATTCTATTCTGATGCTGGTCTAGGTCACAGTCTTCCTAGTGGGATAACATGGCTTTGGCTTTTTCTGTAAAAGATTCAGTCATTTCTGTGGTTTAATAAAAGATTGAACTGCATCTCCAATGAGGTGAATGGTATTTAAATGTGGCTATCTTTGATCATCTACTTTGAACCAAAATTAGAATTTATTTATTTATTTTTTACATCTTTATTGGAGTATAATTGCTTTACAATGGTGTGTTAGTTTCTGCTTTATAACAAAGTGAATCAGTTATACATATACATATGTTGCCATATCTCTTCCCTCTTGCATCTCCCTCCCTCCCACCCTCCCTATTCCCCCCCTCCAGGCAGTCACAAAGCACCGAGCTGAGAATTTAATATTTGACCTAAGTCACACTGATTTCCTGTTTTTTATTTTATAAATCACAAAAATAAGAGATAATCATTTATGAACAAACCACGGAACCTCTGTCTTAACCAGGACCCAGCTAGAGGCAGAATGGGAATTGAGAGTATGAAAGTCAAGACTGAACTGAAGTTGATAGAGGGGAGTCTGGAGCCTTAAGAGAATCAGCAGGGGAAAGGTTGGAGAGTTTGTGCTAGGGAATTTGTTTTAATACTTATACTATGTCATATAGACATCAATATGAAATTTTTAGTGTATCAAAATAAAGCCTACTTACATGGTGTAAAAAGCAGTGAGTACTACCAAATGTAAGATAGATAGCTAGTGGGAAGCAGCCGCATGGCACAAGGGAGATCAGCTCGGTGCTTTGTGACCACCTAGAGGGGTGAGATAGGGAGGATGGGAGGGAGGGAGATGCAAGAGGGAGGGTATGTGGGGATAAATGTATATGTATAGCTGATTCACTTTGTTCTAAAGCTGAAACTAACACACCATTGTAAAGTAATTATACTGCAATAAGGATGTTAAATATATATCAGTAAACCAAAATAATAAAAGCAAAAAAAAAAAAAAGCAGTACCAAAAAAGGTAAACAGTGGAAAGGTATGTTAATTTTTTAATTAATTTTATAATGAAACTCAATTCTAAAGCAGTTTTTAAATATTCACGTAACACAAGGTAATTCTGGTGATATTCAATAGTTTGCAAAACCTCTCAGAAATCCATTTCAGCCTTAAGGTTAGGAAATTTTTCTAGCCGCTGATTTAAATTGCTCATGCTGCAATTAGAGCTTGGGTCTTCTTATTGTCTCTTTATGGGACATGGGATCAGGTCACCATCCTTTAAGACTAGAGCTGGGTAGCTGTGGTCCTTGATCAAGATCTGGAAGAGAGTATCCATGGAAGAGAGACCCATTCTAATGGGCTTCATTTCATCTCTTCCCCGGGCTGAGCATGCTCTGGCTGCTGGTACTGCTCCAAAAATCATTTTTTCCACGTTGGCAATTACAATATTCTGATTCAGAGCAGAACCTATGAATCCGGACAATTAAAAAGCTATAGAAGGTAGGCAGTTTTATCAGCATTTTAAAGAGGAACAATATAGCTACTGCCCAGGGTATAGCTTCTATCCTTACCACTCTGCCTCTATCCTTTTGTCGTCTCACCCAGTCTTCAGTTTATTCAAACTTTAACTGACTCTAATATAGAAATGGAAATGAGATGTATTTAGCATTTTGTGCATATCAAAGTTTTATGTTGCCTATTCTCAGTTCTTTAACAAAATAAATGAACTGAATATTTCATCTCTAAGTGATGGGGAAAATATTTTGGATATCTTTTTGCAAGGGATGTGGGGAGGAATAGGCCCTTGCTTTGAGGTTTTTCTGGTTCAGTAACTGGGGGAATGTTTCCCACCCTTGTTCAATGAGGTTTTCCCACTGAATGCAGTTCCAAGCCATTAAGTGCCTACTGTGAGCAAAATCCTTTGGCTTCCTCCTTACAAGCTGAGTTTTCTCTGCCTTAATGCTTTTCTCTCAACTGATTTTCTGATTGCCCTTGCACTCTTCTCTAGTGAGAAGATTCTTCACATCTTTCTTTCATTGTGTAGCCCGGATCGGGACGTTCATGTTTCATGTATCTGATGACAAGTAAATAACAGTGACCCACATTTACTACTTTTTGTGTGGCTAAGAATGACATGTTTCTTGCACAATTTTGAACTGAGAACTAAGAATGAAAAATACATATCTTAGCATTAACCTTGCTAATAATTTGATGAGATCTTGATTGTCATTTTTGAGCTTTAGTTTTCTCTCTATAAAATAAAGTTGTATTAGATTCTTTGACACATTTCAATTCTGAAATATATATATAACTTTTACACACAACACTTAATTTATATTGTATATATTATATATAATGTTATGTATTAATATATAAAATATATAAATATACATGTAGTTTTTGAAGTAATAAAATCTCAATTATATTTCAGAAGAATATATATAGTCATCTATATATGTGTATACATATATATATGAAAGTGTTCCCTATATATATTCTAGTTTTATCAGGCTATGTGAAAGTATATATGGAGTGATTTCTTTGTTAAAAAATAAGCATAGCACACACACATATTTGTCACCTGGCACAAATATTTCATTTAACTGAGAGAATTGATAACTAGATGCTCTTTTCCAGACCCCTTGAATTGCTTGGAATTTTTAACTATACCTTAGAAAGAAAATATGATTTTGCCCCAATAACTCCTAATGTAATCTTGGCTTTTAAATATTTTGTCCTTCTAATCTAATTGCATTGGAAAATATTATTAAGCAGGCACGTTTGATATTCTAACATTAGAGTAGTTCCTTTTTTTTTTTTGGTTCATCAGGGCTCCTCTCAGTCTTATAAAAATAACCTAATTCAAGGTACCAAGGACTTTCATCTGTATTATTACTGGCCTCCCGGGGTATTACATGACTCTTCTCAAAAAGTCCAGTGGCCATTTCCTTAGTTCAATAAGTAATATGTCTTGGACAAAATACAAGCTGTGGTGCTCTTGAGGAAAGCAATTATGTCCATTTCAGCAACATAGGAAATACAGGAAAAACCAGCATGGCTCTCTAAAAAGGTAATGCCTATGGAGGAAATGGTGTTTTAGGGCTTCTTTCTTAATAATTTGATTTTTATACTTACTATAATGCAATAAGCTATAAGATGCATGATATATGTAGTAAGACTTAAAAGTATAATATAATAAATACCTATGTACTGTATTTCTAGGTTGAAATGTAAAAACATTAAGTATAGTTGAAATACCCTGTGTATATTCTAATGGTAGCCCATGTCTTCCCAGCAGAAGTTACTAATATTCTGAATTTTAGGCTTATCATTCTCAGCATTCCTTTATATTTTTACTACATGTGTGCCTATTCTAAAACAATGTAGTATTGTTCAGCATGTTTTTGACTTTTATATAAATGACATAATACTGACTTACTCTTCAACTTGCTTTTTTCACTCATAAGTTTGTGAGATTCACCTGTGTGAATACTTTGTGAAGCTCTGTTTACTAGCATGTAGTAGTCCATTAACATATCACAATGTATTGATCCCTTTTTCTACTGATGACATTAAGTTTGTGTCCAGTTTCCTGCTTTTACAAACAATAGTCTGTGAACGATCCTGTGTGTGTCTCCTTGTATACGTGTGTGCAAGGGTCTTCCTAGGACTACATAAGGCTTAAGTGCCACATCTTCTTGACAGTTTGTATCTGTCTTATCCCAAAGCCAAACAGCATCCTCAATATTTTAAGGATTTTAAAGTTTTGCTTTTCACATTAAAACATTTTTTTTTTATCCACCTGGTATATGAAGTCGGGATCCGATTTTTTTTTCCATATGCATCACCCGTTGTTCCATCACCACTTATTTAATAGGTGTCCAGGAAGGGTACTGGTAAGCTAACCATAAGGCATTCTTCTCACTTAGACTTAAAAAGAATGGAAGGGAAAAAAGAACCTCCTTTTTTTCCCAATAAAGAAAAGAAGCTCTCTTTAAAATTTGTCTACATTTCCCTCCTTCCTCTAGCCTCATGTCTCCCTGCTCTTACCCACATGGAATCGGCTTCATTAATAGAAAATATATGACTTAGTGGAAGCAGTACCTTGGGATGGTATGACTTCCTATCTTCTAAGCCAGAGGTCAGTAAACTACTTTTTCTGTGAAGTGCTGGATAATAGATATTTAGGCTTTGTGGGCCAAGAGGCAGGCAAAATCAAGGATATTACATATATATATGTGTGTGTGTGTGTGTGTGTATATACATATATATATATATACACACACACACATATATATGTATGTGTGTATATATATACGTATATATGTATGTGTATATATATATACACATATATGTATGTGTATGTGTGTGTGTGTATATATATATATATATACACATATATATTATAGGTATGTACCTACACACCAAGAGGGAAAATAAAATTCCACAATATTTGTATTAACAAAATTATAAAAATAATTGAGTATATATTTTGATTATGCAAGTCTACTAATGTGCAGAGTAGAATTCCTGATTATCTCATTTATTCTTCCTCACAACCTGATGAGGTAGATATTATTAATACCTGTATTATATTTATAAGGAAGATGAAGTTCATATCAGGTTACCCTGTTAGCAAATGTTGGAGCCATCATTTGAGCCTAACTCCAGAGCTTGTGCTCTTGACCCTCATATAATTTTGAGAGGGGGATTAATATTAAGTATTAATATTAATTAAGAATTTATATTAATATTAAGTAATTTACATATTAATTTTAAAGATGAAGAAATAGAAGTGCAAAGGGGTTGAGTAACTTGGACAAGGTATACACATTGCTGTAGGGCTGTGTCTGTCTAATTTCAAAATCATGTTCCTTCCCGTCTACTCTGCAACTTCAAAACTTCCAGGAACCTCCAAAACATGGATAATAGCTGTAATTAGCAAATCAGGTCTCAATTTATGTTACCATTTTGATTGAAATATTTTAATATAGAAATTAACAGCTGTATACATTTTTCTTTTTCATTATAAAAGATAAATAGACAACACAATGTTGTAAATAAACTATACCTAAATTTTAAAAAAAGATAAATTGAAATTAAAAAGGAAAGATCATATAATACAGAAGGGTATTTGGGGAAAGGTAAAAAGTAAAATTCATTAATTCATTTTTTTCCTCTCCTCCCCTATTTGCTCTCTCCTTATTTCCCTTTCATTTTTCTTTTTATTAAATGTTTTATTTTATTTATTTTTGGCTGCGTTGGGTCTTTGTTGCTGCACGTGGGCTTTCTCTAGTTGCGGCGTGTGTGGGCTACTCTTCGTTGCGGTGCGCAGGGTTCGTTGCGGTGGCTTCTGGCTTCTGTTGTTGCAGAGCACGGGCTCTAGGCACGTGGGCTACAGTAGTTGTGGCACACGGGCTCAGTAGTTGTGGCTTGCGGGCTCTAGAGCGCAGGCTCAGTAATTGTGGCGCACGGGCTTAGTTGCTCCGCGGCATGTGGGATCTTCCCGGGCCAGGGCTTGAACCCGTGTCCCCTGCATTAGCAGGCGGATTCTTAACCACTGCACATAATGCCCCCTTTCATTTTTCTTTCCTTATTTTTTCTCTTTTTGTCTCCCTCCCCTTTTTTGTGTGTGCTATAAGAGCGGCTCAGAATAGAAGAAAGCAGTGCCTGCCCAAGAGTAGAATTAAGATCCCAGAGAACTCAGGGTACTCTTGTTGACCAAACACAGTGGGAATCTCAAAGCAAACATAAATTCTGTTACTGGATGAATTTTTTAGTTTCCTGGCATCAAATCAATGTCCAACAAGTGTTTACTGCGTGGCAACCATGTGGTGGATTCTGTGAGAGAATGCAGATGAAAACACCTACCTCTGCCTTCAAGGAGCTCACAAGCCAGTGAAATTCTAACGATCAAAGCAAACTTGAAGAGTAAAGAGAAAGCCGAAGTAAACTCATGCAGGGGAGAGACTTGGTAAGCTCTGTCGCCGTCACCTCACATCCTTCATTAAGATGCACATTAATCAATGATATAAATTGTCAGTTAAATGATGCATTTGATTAGGCGATGAGTCTTATTAACTTCAAGATAAAACAACTTGACAAAAGCATAATTACTCTTTGTGTGTTTGGCTTCAAAGATGCATTTTAAAATGCTTTGCATAGTGAAATCAACAACTAAAATGTACTTGTCACATGCATAAAATGTACTTGCCAAGCACCGCACCAGATGTTTCACATGCATATCTCATTTAAAGATTACAACAATTCAGTGAGGCAGGTGTTATTATTGTCACTGTTTTAGATTATTTTAAAATTTCAAAGTATTTGCCCAATTGTTATACAGCTAATAGTGAGCATGATTTGACTTAGAGAGTAGTTAGGAAAACTTGAAAACATGGTGACATTTGAAAAAGATCCATGCTGCTTTATAATTAATATTCAATCCTACGGACAAACTAGAAAAAATATATCACATACACAGCATTGTATGAACTGATAACTAAAGTTTTGCCTCTTCTCCCAAAGGGCTTTTTTTGGGCAACAAATCAGAAGCTGAGCTCTCTCTCTGAGGTTTGGATTAGTGACTTTTGGTTTGGTCTGAAATGAGCTAGAGATGTCTGCCTCTAGTTCTAAATTCTAGATTATATGAGAACATGAAGCTCTGTCCCTACTACGTGTTACTTTGTTTAGCAGGCTCCCGGAGGATTCCTCTGGGCTTGGCAGTTAGGTTGTATATGCAGTTACATATATATGTTCCCTCACATGGAGGGCCAAGCAGAAGAGGAAGCTACTTGCGGGAAGGGCAAAAAATCAGATTCTACCTCTGGCTCCGCTCCTAACCCATGATATGACTTTGAATAAAGTTGTTTTATACTGCCTTTAAAATGGGGATTAAAAAATGGTTTCTCTTCTCACTTCACTGGCAGATCAAAAGAGACCGTTTATGTGAAATGGCTTTACAGAGTTCAAAGGGGTATGCACACGCAGGGCGCTATTTTTTAGAGAACAAACGTAGATGTATGCTCAGGAGCTGGTTATCCTGTGGGCGGGGGGAAAACCAGAGCCCAGGCCAGATCGACTGAAGCAGGGGTAGGGCCTCGTTCACACTAATTCAAAGAGTAGGCTAGTTCAGCTGTATCCAAAATCCCGCACAAACTCTTCTCCACATTTGAAAACCTATTTGTCAGGGGAAAATATATTGGTTAAGAGCTCAGGCTTTGTAATCTGAGAATCTTGTGGAAATGTCCCCTCTCGGCCTCGGTCTTCTCATCTGCAGGACAGGGATAACTACAGCATCTGCTCATGAGGCTCTGTGGATTAACTGGGCAAAAGAATGCTAAGGACTTAATCTGGTGTCTTGTAAACTGAAAGCAGGCAGTAGGTAGTAGGTAGTATATTTTACCATGGTCAGTAGTAGCCTCAGCAACAATAATGCAGAAGTATGAGGAGGGGACTTGGACAATTTTTTTCTTACACTTGTGAATGGAATTACTTGGGACCTAATTTGCTTGTATTATTCCTGAACGGTGAACCAGTGTCTTGCATATAATTTTCTTTTTTTTTTTTTTCTGAGTGAGGGGTTATTACTTAAAAAAAAATCCAGTCATCTCTAATACAGATTTTCTCTTTTTGTGCCAGATCTGTATTTCCTTTCATTTACATATAATTTACTATTAACTGGACCTGGGGAGAATCTATGCCATTTAAATGATATGAATCTCGACCATGGTTTTTGCTCTGTGGGACAGATTCACAAAGTCACATAATGTTTGTACCTCATTACAGAGACTGTTTTTTCAAAAATGCATTCCGTGTTTGCATACTAGTTAACATTTCCTTAATGAGATATATTTAATTTGGCTCAAATAAAACAAGTGCCTGGTTACTCAACTCGATATGCACATCTGAACATAAGTTTGATGAGATTCACTATTGGAATTTTCTTTTTGTCGTGGAGGTTTATACAGTTGAAGAATAACATGAATGGTTGAAAGTCCTAAAGCATAATTTGAAGGAGTGTGAAACAACCCATATTTATTGTAATAGCACTTGGGCAATATCTCATTTCCACTTAGCTTCAGTGCTATAAATAATTCTAATTTGTTTGCCTTGTACACTTATTGGATTAATTACAGTAGAACAAGCTAAGTGATATTAATGTATCAGTTGGCTAAACTTGATACAAACATGATAATTAAAATGATTACTTTTTAATTTCTCCCCTTTTCAGTAGTTTAATAAGCTGAATCTAGTGTTATAAACCTTAAAGAATTTGATTTGAGAATCTCTAGGCTCTTCTGTCAATGTGTTTTCATTGTTGATAGTGGATTTCAGTGTATTGTTGGGAGTTTCCTTCAGAAAGGAAGCATCTGGGTCCTGCCTCCATGCGATATCTGCTTATTTAAAAAGTGTATTGTTTCCGTCATTCTTGCAGCACCATGGGATAATCACGTGTTTCCATTTACCCACCCAAATCGATGCTGGTAACACACATAACGCACACACGCCTGCACACACACAAACACGCATCCTTGATAGAGAAACCGTTCCCTCTGGCATCAGTAAAAGAACATATATTTAGTTCAACATGTCCTCCAACAAGCTATTTGTTGCCTCAGCATTACCCAAGGCAAAGATTGTGCTCAGCTGCTCCCCCATCCCATCTCTCTCTTGTTGCTACATGTTTGATTACATCGGGAAAGGTACTGTTTCTGTTAATGTATAAGAAGAAGGCCTCTGGGAAGCAAGGAAGTGAAAAATGGTCACTGCCAAAGGTATACTCCTTTCATCCTAAAAAGGTTGCCTGAGCCACTCTTGGTCCTCCCATTATGTTCCTGTGCTGTTTGCCAATTAACTTTTCCCAGTGTGCAGGGGTCACTGATCTGGACAGCATCCTTTGGTTTCCCCTCCGATTGATTCCTAGCAAAGCTCTTATAAATGCACTGTACTTGCTTTTTGGTTTTCCCTCAGTGGCTGGGTTGCTTGGTGAGAATTTGATGCACAGGTTTAAACAACCTCTTTACAAAGTGGAGACAAAGCAAAAATAGAAGGGGGAAAAGTACACTCAAATGAGCTAGAACGAGAGAAAACTTTAGCTCAAAGTTTTTAACTGAAGTACCTTGATTTTTGTTGCTTTCGAGAATTTTAAAACAGAGAACAATTGAGTAATGGAAATCGTTTCTTCCCTCTGTATGTCTCAGAAGGATTTTCTCCTTCATATCCGACTCTGAATGACTCTCTCTGTAGTCTACATTTAAAATGTCAAGTAATTTCACCAGGCCTTTAGTAAGTAAGGATTCAATTGGCAATTGGAGAAGCTTATCGTCTGCAAGTTTCTTCAATATTCCCAACACTTTTTGAAACAGGGAACATTCCTCAGAACTCAACTGGGCCCTTGATTTTCTATCTTTACATCCTGCCCTCCAAGGCAGTTCATTTGCTCTTACAGAGTCCGCTCTTGCCTCCATGTTAGACTTACCCGCATCTTTATCCCGAACACTAACCTCTCGCCCATGCTCAAATCCCTATTATCAGCTGCCTGCTGGACATGTCTTTTTTGTTTGTTTGTTTGTTTACGGTACGCGGGCCTCTCACTGTTGTGGCCTCTCCCATTGCGGAGCACAGGCTCCGGACGCGCAGGCTCAGCGGCCATGGCTCACGGGCCCAGCCGCTCCGTGGCATGTGGGATCCTCCCGGATCGGGGCACGAACCCGTGTCCCCTGCATCGGCAGGCGGACTCTCAACCACTGCGCCACCAGGGAAGCCCTGGACATTTCCTTAAGATGTCCCGTTGTCAACTCAAACTGAACATATGCACAATGAATGGAACTCATCTTCTTCCTTCCTCTCCCCTCTGCTCTGATAGGCAGCCTCTCCACAGTCCACAATTCTTTCTGTCTCTCTCTCAGTCTCTGCCTCACCTATCCCTCTCTCTCTCACAGCAGTTCCAGTAACAATCAAAACTGCGGTCATTATTTGATCTCCTCTCTCCCCAGCTTCTTACATCTATGTACTAGATAAGTCTTCTGCATTCTTTCATGCCTCTCCTCTGCCCCCTTTCACTACAATTCTGTAACCGATCATGCAGGTTTACACAAGCATTTACTCAACCAGTGGTTATTAGTCACCTATGCCTTGCCAGGCACTATAATAGGCACACTGAGGATTTGATGTTAGGAAAGAAACTGCCATGGCAATAATCATAGCAATTATCCCCTTACAACACTCTCCTACTTGGTATCTTGGAAGCCAGTGTCTCTTCCTCTCCAATCCACTTGTCCTCAAGTTAACCTTCCCAAATATAACTTGGATAATATTTTTCTAAATATCATGGATTTAACTATCAGTAAGTCTGTTCTACATATTTTATGACCTAAAACCTTTAGGAATCTTCATGTAGAGCATCATAAGCCACCCAGCTGCATTTAGAATCATGGCTGCATGTCCATTAGCAAAATGGAAGATCGTCTCGCCTTTATCTGCCAGCCTTACTTCTTCCAGACACTGCAGGGGATGAGGGCAGGCGCTTAGAGCCTCATACTGCCGGAAGCAAGACACTCTGGGGCAGACTGGAGTGCTCAGGGTCATGAAGCCCATGCGTCAACTTCCCAGTTGAACAAGTTAGCCCCAGTTAGTGCCGAAGCCACTGTCAGTGCCTATAACGCCAGCTGTATTTCTGAAAAACATGTTTGGAAGATTCGTAAACAGATTAATGCAGGAAGACCACACTCTGCTCTTAGAACGTCAGGGAGAACCTCCCTGATGAAATGACATCCATTTCTTTATGTTTAAATATGTCCTCTTTTATGATTATTATTACAGAAGCAGTAGATGTTATAAAGCAAGCAGTACGAAAGTATATGAGGTAGAAATGGAAAGTCCCTCGTGTGACCTCTGCACCCACAGATTACCAGGCGTGAGGAGAGAGTGCTGCACTGCTATTTTCACTCAGCTTTGCAGTCTTCCTGGTCA